AAGAGAGAGAGAGAGAGAGAGAGAGAGAGAGAGAGAGAGAGAGAGAAAGAGAGAGAGAGAAAGAGAGAGAAAGAGAGAGAAAGAGAAAGAGAAAGAGATAGAGAAAGAGGGTGGGGGCGTGTGGGGACGAGAGAGAAAGAAAGAAAGAAAGAAGGAAAGATGAAAGAAAAAACAAAGAGAGAGAGACAAAGACAGCGCGGAGAACCAGTAGCCAAATGAAGCTCTTCCTCTTACTTACTTGAACGTGCACAAAGGTTGCAGGATTGCTTGCAGTAGAGCGACATATAAGCTGAGTTCCGCTGACACTCGCCCATCGCCGCCCAGGACCGGCAGTTGGTGTGGTAGTCTGGACACCCCCAGGTGGGACCAGCACGTCCGTCTCCTCCCTCTTCTACCCTGTTACCACTACCACTGTTGTGGCCGGTGGCTGGGTGCGTCACAGAGGTGTTTGGGCGTGGCCGAGAGGTATTGTGTGGTTTGTTTGTTTTTGGGGGGTCATTTTTTTGTTTGTTTGTTTGTTTGTTTGTTGCCATTGTAGTAGTTTTTTGTTGTTGTTTTTGTTGTAGGTTTGTTTTTGTGGTTTATTGTTTTTGTTTTTTAAATTTGTTTGTTGTTGTTTGGTTGTTTGGTTGTTTTGTTTTATTTGGAAGTGTTTAGGGGGGGGGGTGGATTATGGAAATAAAAATGAAAATAAAATGGTGGTGTTAATAATGAATAACAATGATAATGTCTACTGACAAATTCAAGACAGGTAGCGACTGGTGTACTACCCAAGGTAAGACAGGTAGGGACAGCTAAAGTACCCATGTTAAGACAGGTATTGGCAGGTTTACTACCAAAGGTAAGACAAGTGTTGACAGGTGTACTATCCAAGGTAAGATTGACAGGTAAACGCACAAGGTAAGACAGGTAAAGGCACAAAGTAAGACATGTGTCGACAAGTGTACTACCCAATGTAAGACAGATAGGGACATGTGAAGTACCAAAGGTGAAACATAGGCGCAGGTGTAATACCAAATGGAAGAATAGTGTCGAAGGTGTACTACTAAAGGCTAACGAGTGTGAATAAGGTCAACTATATTATTCTTTAGGTCTCTGTTATTTAATAGACATAGAGCAGCAACATCCAACTACTGGAAAAGCTAAGAAGAAGATATTCCGTCAGTCAGTCTCTATTTTTAAAGCATTTTATACTGGTTGTGGTTCCGTACTTTACATCAGGAATGAGGAAGTTTCACCCTGTTGCGAAATCCAGCCAAAAGAATACGCTGATTTAGAATTTATGTTTTGTAGACTAAGCAGTTATTCTAGAGTCACAGTTTGATGTAACATTCTGTTAGAGTCCGCATATTTTTCAGTTATGCTCTGGTGCGTTTTCCTGAGTTATTCGTTTTTGGGTTGTGGGGCAGAGAGAGAGAGAGAGAGAGAGAGAGAGAGAGAGAGAGAGAGAGAGAGAGAGAGAGAGAGAGAGAAAGAGAGAGAGAGAGAGAGAGAATAATAAAAGATA